TTTGATTAAGAACTTACAGTTTTTCTCGAGGAGGAGCCTGGAACCACAGGTCATCTGCAACAAATTCAAAAAAGGTTTTTCACCACTTCCAGTGAGTGTCTCACAGAACGGTAAATAAAACACATTATAAAAGCAGATTATAATGATATCTTAAGGATATTCAATCCCATTTTTCTGCATGAAATTCTACAGAAGTTCTTAAGGTGTCAAGTAAGCATCTGAATTCTATTTAAATAAAATTAACCTTACAAAACCTACTGTGTCCTTAGTCTATTAATTTTTCAAGTATCTTGAGATTTAAGAGCTCTCCCCACCAAAAAAATCAAATACACTCATAAAAATATAAAGTTTACTGACACATTTAAAATTATGTATGAAAATGAAGAAACTGCATGACTGCTGGTATGTAACTAAGAGAGAACCATTTGAGTGAACTGGTTCTTACTCTTGAATGGTTCATGCAGTTCATATACTCCCAAAACTGGAAACAGAGTTAGCATAATGCATGAGGATCAGATTTTCATAATCCAAGGCCATTTATACCACATCAGAGACCTTCAGCATCCACTTACACAAACTCCACAGTTTCTACAAGAAAACAGGAGCACCTTGTGTATCCTAGTTTTCTTGAACTCTTTTCTGACACAAAAGCTTTGGTACTCAGCAAGAACTTTCCTGTATCTTGGTGTTTGTGGATCTATTTATTTATTTTAAGTGGTAGGTACTATACATCCATTTTGTTCTTAAAGAAACATTTGTCAATTCAGAAATGGAGTGATGATTGAGCTGGATAACTAGTTTCATAATGAGTAGATTTGGGAAGAAAACCACTTACTAAAATGACCACAGAGTTTTTCATTGAGGTCCCAATGAACTTTGTGCCTCCTCTCTGGTAGGAGCCTCCTGTGGATGGCCCCGTTTCCACCTCAACCATCCAAAATTGCTTACTTCTAACTAAAATGCTGTATGTGGTGGATAACTGGGAGAATGACAATTTTAAAAAGAGGAAAATTGCATTTTTAATTGTGAAGAATGAACCTACTTTTGAACATCTTACAGGAGCAGTATAGCACTGGTTCTTACACAGCATCCCTCCCCACCAAATTTTCTCTGCTGGAAGAAAATAAAGCAGCCTTCATTCTGTATTGTTGACAGAAATCTTGAAAAACCCACCGACACAAACAAAAAAAGCCCCACCAAAACAAAAGCTCCCAAACAGCAACCATTCTTGTTCTGGGAAAGATCTTTGTGACAATATCATTTCCCTGGAAGAAAAACTTCTCAAGATTTCTTGGGATTCTTGGGAAAGAAGTGATGCCTTCTGTCCCTTTGTGGTTGCCAGAACTGATGCCTTGAGAGGCTAGACAGAGTTAAGAATAAAGCAGGTATTTATGGAAAAGCCTTAAAGGATACACCTTGGGCAGTACAAGAGCCTGGCCAGGGCTACACCCAAGACAGACCCAAAATGGTTACAAAATAGATATCTGGTCACGAGGTCTTACACTTTTTTAAGTTTTGGTCCACCTGCATATTTGGGTTAATTGTCCAATCACAGAGTCAGGTTATGAAGTACCATCCTTCTTGTTTTTTCTCTTCAGTCCACAGTTGTTTATGCTTTTGGGCCTGAAACCTGTAACGATTGTCCTTGGTATCAAGCTAGACAATGAATTATTTTGTCTACCTACTCTGTGAAGAAAGCTCACTAACACTTAATATGAATCTCAAAACTACACACCTAGGCAGCACAGAATATGAAAAATATGAAAGCTAAAACTTAAGGCATCAGAAGGAGGAAAGCCCTCATACCCCAGATCAGGAATGTTGACTTTGTAGCACTCTTCCCCAAACACTGAAGAATATTCTTTGCTGTACAATTGCAGGCACAACAGGGAGTAAGGAGTAGGATGACAGTCTGCTTCTCTTCTGACAGTGGTGCTTGACAAACATCCATGTTTCCTGGGATGGTTACACAGGTACATGGTAGCACAGCAGCCACTGCAGCCATGCAGGAAAAAAACAGTCCAGTGAAACTAAATGCCTCAGCCTGACTCTTCCTGATCTTTCTGGCTCTGACCTCTGTGTGTACAGTGCAGCCCTCACACAATTACATGTAAAGCAGTTTTTTGTATTAAAGGAATCCATTAGAGATGGATTTGAACTTTTGTTCAGCCTTCTGCCACCAATGTGCACTGTGATTGCCAGGCACAGAAAACATAGCCCACTTGTCTCCATTTTCTTCCTTCATGAGCCAGAAAGTTCACATAATGTGCTGGTACTAGTTCAGAAGTGGTCAAATTAGTGAATGAATAAGCTTTTAAGGTAATGAATAAGCTGTCATTCAACGACTGATTTTTTAAATATCCTTTTCCATTGCCTAGTAAGCTTTGATAAACAGGTGCACCAGAAACCAGTTTATGCTAGAAATTACATCCAAGCTGAAGTTATCTCTTTGTCAGGGGTGGGGTGGGGGGTGGGGGGAAAGTTTACAGAGAAAAAAAAACAAAACAAAAAAACAAAACAAAACAAACTCAACATAAATAGGGTGAAAGGACGGCAGTATGAACAACAGTGGAAAAAACCTAACAGTGAAATGTAAGTGCTGTGGTTCAAATGATTTTCTCTGTTGTTCTCCTGGGAGAACATTCAATGAATCAGGGCAGAAATGCCTTTTTTGCCAGCTAAACATCTTCTGAGGTTTCCCCTCCAGCATGTGGGGAGGAATGAAGTCCTCTGAGAGGCAGTGAGAGCAGAATTTTGGGTAGGTGCACTAAACACTGCCTGGAGGAATCTTCTCCTTCACACACTGCTGAAAATTAGGACACTGTCTGGCTAAGTGAAGTACTTCACGTTGGGTGTTCCACATTAAAAAGACTGGTTAGCATTTTAAAAGGGAAGATAGCAGTGTTACCTGAGTATTGTTATTACAGAATCCTGGAAATTCAAATTCTTGTTTTTACACATATTCATTCATGCAAATGTGGAACCTGACCCAGAAATTTTATTCAGGTGAGTAATCTGCCTTTGACTTCAATGGGATTCTACTATATATGAACAAAACAATCAAGCCACGCTTTGCATTTGCAGTCACCTCCATTTATCTTCAAGGGGGAAGGTTGAGTTGTAAAAATGCCCAAATCATGCCAATTTGTCCAGACGAGATATCAAATCTCCTTTTTAATATTCAGCCTCAGCAATATGGAAAGCAACACTGCCAAATACTCCATAACCATTTTACTGGGATTACTCACATTTTGATTAGAAAATTCTCATTTCACATGGGTGTTGTCACCTGCCCTGTGCTAGATACATCATCTCTGCTGTGCAATTAATTACACAAACACTGAAAAATGAGTTTATGACCTGGAATGGAGTTTTGATAAACTCCTCTGAAGACATACCTGAAACACAGCCCAGTAGAATCCTGAACAGATAGAAATGATTTATGCATATACAATAGCACACACAACCTCCAAACAAACTGAAGGCCTGCCAGGAGCAGCAGTAGTTCAATATCTGGTTTGAAATGAAGAATGTAAAAGAGACCATAACCGAGGAATGAGGCACTGAATCCTGCAGCAGGGGGAAGGTAGGAAGGTTGTAAATAATTTGAGAGATTTACAGCATCCGTGTACTTTCTGATGGACAAAAGGGTGAGGAAGGGACACAGAACCAGAAGGATAAGGACAAGAGACATGGAAAGCTTCACATCAGCAGTGCTGTTTCCTTATTTAGGTAATAAATACTCAGCCTTCTGAGACACAGGTCTAATTCATCTACCACACAAGTTCCACCTCTGTAACAAGTGACCCTAACACGTCCCCTATTTTGCCTCCTGCTCTGCACAGGCTGAATACTGCCTGTCCCACTGCCTCAGCTGCCTGTGAGTGAGCTCAGGCCAACGCCCCATCTCTCCTGGGGCTGCAGGAGCTGTAGCCATGGCTCCAAATGGCAGTAAATCTGAGGCAGTGACCAGCTGCCACAACAAGGGGTATCCCCGCATGTCGCTTGTTGTCACACCAGCCGTGGTCCTTATCTGGCCCCTGGGTGAACTGGTGCAGGGAGAGGGACAGGACAGGCCAACCCTCCCCAGAGAGGCAGTTCTCAGTGTGGTGTTGTCTTAGTCAAGAGGGTCATTAAACAGCAGCAAGCACAAGCCATCGCTAAAAGCTCTCTGAGTGTCTTTTCACATGTGGGCTAGAAAAGTGGGAGGCTGTGGTATTGCTGCAGCAACCAAGAGATCCGAAATAACCAGGATGGTGAGCACCATTCTGAAAACACATTCTCTTATTCCTTGGAGCAAATGCATTCAGTGCCTCATACCGAAAAAGAAATAAACGAAGCAAACCAAAACAGTAGGTTAGGACCTGGAAAACAAAGCCATCTAAACATAAATAAATCATGGACATCTTGCAGTATAGTAAAATACTGAGGCATTGTCATCTGTTGCTTATTACAGTTTCATTTACATTGGAATTTTCTTTGTTTTCCTGCAACAGTTGTGTTACTGTAGTATTTTAAAACTACTCAGTAATGTGAGTAGAAGAGTCTATCTTTGCATTATTCTGGCCAATATTATATTATATTGTGTAAGAAATGAGAGTTAAATCAATTTTAATGCACCATTTTAGTAAGATGACAACGACAGCTCTCGATTGCAATTATGGAGATAATTACAATCTCATTGGTACTGCTTAATATTAAGAATACAAAATTTACCTCTGATGAAGAGTTCATTATGTAAGATGAACCCAAGCTATTTTTCTTTTCAATTGTATCTTGGCTTGTTTTATTTCTTAACTTTGACTGTTTAATAAAGGCATAAAGAGTTTTACAGGTAGAGTATACAGAAACGGGCTGACTGGTTCAACATCAAATTCCTGCACAGTGATTTGAGAAAAAAACATTAATTTTGAAGCAGCTCTGGAGGCTGAGTATAGAGATTATTAAACATAAGTTTTATATATGCAGAAAAATTGCTTTTGCATGAATTTACTTTTAAAATGTTAATATATGCATAAGAAAATTGTGTTTCTTAATCTCTGAAGAAACACTTATCACTAGGAACCGCTTAATTCTTTTCCTGTGCTTGATTTATTAGCTTATGAAATTATGGTAATAGTTTGCATGTTAATGGTTCTGGGGCTCAAATGACCTGATTTTAATAATGAAGTAATTTATGCAGTAAATGTAATCAGCATCTATGAATCTCACTTAAAAGAACATGCCAGTGATTACCTATGCTAAAAACAAATGACTGTCAGCATGGTATACACTGTATGTTATGACAAGTAACTGGGATGTGTTCAGCTCAGCACACCCTTTAGGCTGGCTGGGTCCTACTCTGACAAAGCCCACCAAAGCTGGAAACTGCAGCTCTAACAACAGTTTACAGACCTGCCATTGCCAGCTGACTTTTGCTCTTGGTCATCTTTCAAGGAAAAGGACAAGGATAGGAGATGGGCATCACCAGAACTGAAGGTGGAACCGGTAGGTATTCCTCCATGAATAGAAGAATCCTGTGGGACAGAGACCTCACACATCTGGACAAAGTGGGTTGCAGGAAGAGAGGAAAGTGTTTGTTGAGGGAAGTTGCAAGTTCTATGAATTACAAGGAAAAGGAGACTTTTATTAAGGATTTGAACTGCACGGCATATAAAAGATGCAACCCCCTGCAACATTTGGTAAGCCTATGTCAAAAGGATCCATCACAAGGATTCTTTCCTACAACATCTGTATTTACAGACCTGCTCACTGTCAGGATGTATATGAACCATGCCTCTGTTCCCTTGTCTCATTTACAGTGCTGCTCCCCAACATGAGAAGAAATACTAGACTGGGCTTTGAAAAGCAAACAGCAATGCTTTCTTTACAGCAAGGCAAGCTTGTGTTTTGATAACCTGCTGAACACTGAGATTCATTTTGGTATAAAAGATTCAAAAATATATTACTAGCTGCCAAATATGATCTAACTGTTCAAACACACAGACAGAAGCTGAGGGAGGTCAGATTGGACATTAGCCAAAATGTACAAAGTAAATGGAAGAAACCCCATTGATTCAGCAGAGCTGGATCATTTGTTCACCAAAGAAATCCCTAAGGGCCAGAAGTCCTCACCACTTCCAAGGACCAAAACTGTAGAACTGTATTTTGTAATTAATAAATACACTGCATATAGCACCTTAAGCATGATACAAAACTGTCTTCAAACACCATTTCCAGAGCCGCTAGTTTTTCAGAGCAAAAAGGTGTTCTGTTCTGGGGTATGGCTAATGCTCTCTATTCCAGAATCCAGACTGCTAGCTTTATGAAATGTACGTCATATCCTAAAGGGAAAACAGGCAGTAGGATAAGATACTTCAGCATTTTTAAAGTTTTATTATCTCAGTCATAGGGTCCATGGAAGCCCAAGGAAGGTCTGGATCATGCAGCAGAAGCCCTTCAAACCCTGCCCCAGAGACCGTGAATGAATATACAGAGACTGTGTATTCACTGGGGTGCTGAGTAGGGCCTCCCGGAACCTCACTAAGGGAGCCCCGGGAGCGAAGGCAGCCAAAGCCAAGGCTGCTGCCTGCACGCAGCTTCAGAGGATGGCGAAGCTGACCCTCCACATGAGCCCGGGATAGGAACTGAGCGCGGCAAAACGAAACCTGGGACGAGCTGGGCTTATTCTTCAAGCGGCGAAGTGCCCAGCTCCCGAGGAGCCCCGTCTGGGCTGGACTCCGCTGGTGTGAGCAGAGCGAACCCGATCAAAGGCTGCGCGTTTGCTCTGGAGGCGGATGCCGTGCCCGCCGTTGCCATGGCGCCGTGACAGCCTAATGAGCTGTCGCTGTCACCCGAGCCGCTGTCACCGGGCTGCCCTGCCCCCGCGCTCCGCAGAGAGGAGCTTGTGCAGCCCCGGGGAGAGGCTCATCGATGGGCCCTGGCCGCTCCGAGCTGCCTGCCCCGTCCCTCTCGCAGGCCCAGACATCCCTGGCTCGCCAAACAGGATTTCTGAAATTTCCCCTCCTCCACTTCCCCCGTGTTGTGCCTGGAGGACATTTCCCCTGACAAGAGGGACCTGCTGTCGGCGGCAGAGGCAGGGTCAGGAAGGCGGAAAATAAAAGGAGAAATTTCAGAGTTCAGACAGTTTTCTTGGCAGACCGTGACAGCTCAAAGGGGTAAGGATCTGTCTGATGTTTACTCGGAAATCCAACAAGAATAGCTCGCCGCTGACAAACCAGGCTCACGAACACAAGCCCGAGCCGCAGAGCCCCAGCACCGGTTGATGCTTCCCATGGGACGCACACAGAGACACCCGGGTAGCCAACACCGGCGTTCCAAAAACAAACGGGAAAATCCCGGCCTGCTCCATCCTCCCTGCCTGTGGGAATCTCAGCCTCCCTGGCCGGGTCAGGACGGGGGTCCCTGCGGTTTCCCTGGCACGGAGAGGAAAGGGAGCGCTGCCATAAGTGCCCTGCGCTCCCAGACAAAGGCTGGGCGCTGGGAAGGCGGCAGCATCCCCTGGCTGCCATTCTGGCTGAGAGCTTCCCACAAGTGAAGGGGAATGGAGGCTCACATTTGTTGGGGGAAGAGTGTGAAATCTGCAGGGAAGAGCCAGGGGAACTGTAGTGAATCCTCATCCAATCTGCTGTGCCTTGTGGGAAGGGAGGCAGATGTAACCATGGCTGCCTAGCTGCTGCATGGAAGGCTGGGAAGTTTCATGCTGGCATTTAAGCTCCCAGCACTGAAACACAGTATTTACAAATGGACTGATTTGCTCTGGGAATAACACTGCACCCCAGAAATTAGCTTGGTAGAAACCAGTTCTGTATTTACTTATCTGCTTTAAAGCAGAACAGAAATAAATACCACAATACACACAAAATGTTAGGTGATTTGAAGCTATCAATTTGTTCATTAGCTGGCTTAAATAACAGCACACTGTTAGCACAACTAGCTTTGTTTCATGCTAGTCTTGTTCTCACATCGTGTCTTGATTTAATATCAGTCTTTAAATACTTCTGGGCAAGAGCCTGTTTCCCTTTATACTCATTCTACCCTTAATAAATAAGCCTACATTCCAACAATGCCTGTAGTTTCGAAAATGTAATCAGCAATAATATTTATTGCTTTTTTGTGTGCCCATCCAGAAAAAGAAAACTGTTGCCAGAATAACGCTCAGAACAATAACAGGATGCAAATGTGCACCCTATTCTTCCAGCTTGCATGCTTCACTCGAGAATCATGTCAGTTCATGGGGAAGTCAGTGGGAAAGCTGACCAAATGAGGAATTCTGATTTGTGTCCCAGGCATCTTTTTGTTGGATTTGTCACAACTAATGCCCTTTTGCTTGTCTCTCCTCACGTGCTAGGAATGTTCATAGGCCACAACGGGAAATCTACAGATTTGGTCAAAAAAGTCGACGTGATTTCAAAAATAGGTGTGAAGAACAACATATTGTAAGCTGAGAGGAGAATAAATATATGGGATTCAATGTATTCATGACTTTAAGAAACAAAAAGGAGAGAAAAAGCCCATCTTCTAGTAACTGAATATCCTGATAATGCCAAGAAATGGTTAACCGTAGGGATACCAGGTTTTGCACATCTCTGCCTCTTTCACTCCCCACTCCCACTCCTGAATCTAACATCTCCTGCCTCCTTCAGTGCTGTTTCACGGCTCTGTGACTCCTCTCCTCCGCCTGTGACCTGCCTCTCAGAGCATCTTTCTTGCTCCCCCCTCCCCAGCAGAGCAGCCCCAGGCCAGGGTGACCTCTCCCTTGGGATCTTTTGTCTCATGGTCTCAGACAGCGTGGAGTGACAGGGAGCAGGAGTGACAGCGAGCAGGATCCCCACCCCAGCGCCTCCCTAATCAAGCAGCGCTCACACAGCTCACACGCCTGCCTGCAGGCTTCTCTCTTTAATGTGACATTGATCATCATGACACAAAATGGTCACAGATATCACTTCCTAAAATTCAGGAATGTGACAGCTAGAGACAGAATCGCTAGTCTATGGCCTGGAGACTATACGGATTATTCAGGTCAGGATAAATCAGGATGGATATTTGCCCTACTTCCATATTCTAGCTATTAATAACCAAAAGCACGCCAGATTGTGGCTTGTTCTGTGCGACTGCACAAGGGAGCAACGCTCCCTCCCCCACGCCTCCACGTACACATGCACAGACGAATATTTTTGGCTAACATTCGAAAGCCATTCGCAAACCCAGCCCCTGAGCTCGGAGTAAAGCCCCAAGCACATGGAGGCCCTCCTTCACCAGGCAAGAAAGGAAAGCCAAAGCAGGCTGAAAAAAGATACGGGAGACCTCTCCTGGTCTACTGCCCCAGAAACCCTGAAGAATGCAAGCTGCTGCTCTCCCCTGTTTTCTTCAAGGCACAGCACCATTCAGTCAGTCAGCGCTCACCCCTTTTCCCAAGTACACTGCCACAAAATGAATATCCTCTTGGGAGGGTAGAGAAGCTAGCTAGGGAAGCACAGCCACACAGCTCCCAGCAAGATTTGTCTCCATCACACCTATGCAGGATTTCAGTAGGAAGAAGCAGCACTTCCTCCCCTATACTGAAAAAGAGAGACCATACAGCTACAGAATTAAAATTAAGTTGCACCTTCCCCAGCTTTAAAATAGCAAGTGAATTATCCTCCATATTGACTCAGCAGTCAGCTTTTAGGAAGATGCAAGGCAGAAATTGCACAGTGTCTCTTTGCAGAATACTAGCTTTTGTAAGCCGCCTTTAAAATTTTGGAAGAGCAAGCCTCAGAAGACTGAAGCTCTGCTACTTTCAAAATAGTCTTTCAAAAGCCAGCTTTTGCTTTTGATTGCAAAGGGGAAAATAGAGATATTTTTCAGACCACTGACATGGAAGAAAAACTGCCCTGACAGCTGAGACAACTTCCCTGAATAGGATCCCTCTGCTCTTGGGAGTTGGAAAGCTATTCTCTGCCATCCCTTTTGGGGCACTTATGCAATCTGCTCTAGCAACTGGTGCCAGTTCAGTTCAGCTACAGACCAGACTCTCTGGACAGTCTAAATGCCATTCCCGGGATTTGCCTAGGAATGAAGCCTTTATACTTCTCTCAGCCACCATATTCATGGTCTGTTACTGTAAACCATTATGGCTGGTCCCAGTCCATTAAATGCCACTGGTTCCCATTTTAATTCTGAAAAGATGGCTCTTATGCAGCAACTGCAGCACCCGGCAATTAGAGTAGCACTAGATGAACTGTCTTCTGTCTGTGTTTCTAGACACTACTCCATATTTTATTTATCAGCTAAAAGCCAAGCAAAGTAACAATAACAAGAGTAGGTGGAGCGCCAAGAGCAGCACACAAGCCTCAACAATACTCGTTTTCCCTCTTCTGCTTCTCTCCTGCTCTTGACTCTGATCTTAGTTAACACGAGGCCTCAGTGACTGCAGTTCATAATCCTTGTATCTTTGGTCCTCTGCTGCGCAGAGTGCTCGTATTTCTATGCAGTTTCAAACAGGCTCTTCCTGCTCAGCTCATTTAGTAACTAGATTTGCTAGATCTCTACGCATTATTTGGCAGAGAGCATAATAAGCAGTTGCCAAGTCCTATCTTGGGTTACTGTTCCAGAGGTTATTTAAGATGGGGAAATAAAAAGTGTTCTTCACTTTATTTCAGTAAGAAAACTTTCTTTCTTTTTTTTTCTGCTTCCTTTGATTTTAATCATAATATTATCCTGGACAGAGACATCTTCAAATAAATATTGGTCAGAGGTTTCCTGAGGACCTGAACTGAGAAATGTTAATAGAATAGAAAGAACACTCTAGTCTTCCCTCTGCATTAGATTGCTCAGCTGAAGCAACTGTATTTTTGCTTAGGAAGGTACAAGTTGGTCTAAATCCTCCACAGCAGTCCAGTAATCTGGATGCGCTGATAATTGTTTGGTCACTTACTGATTAACACAGGTATCTCTATTTCCAGGAGTACTGGATCTTCCCCACTGAAAAGAAGAAGAAAAATCTCCAGGCTTGCTACATTAAAAGGTCATCAAGGAAATGAGAGACAACTTGGGGAAAGAAGAAAAAACGTGTAGCACTCCCACATTACAAACAGAATTTTAAGCAGACTTTTAAGGATATAGGTAAATGGGAAAAAAATATTAATATTTCATTTTCTCTTCATCCCTGCTAACAGAAAAAACAACAGCCTGGGTCACTGGCCTTTCTAAATTCAGGGAGTCAAACATATCATTAAGGACAGCAGAGGGAACAACCCCTCAGAGGAAGCACAGAGAAAAGGCAATAGGGAGCTCAGGGAAAGAGGTAGAACCCACAGGTTCTGAGTTGAGCAGAGACAGAAGATGGGAGAGAAGTTTCTCTTCTTATTACTTGTCCCTATCAGTCAAAATCTGAAGCAGGAGATCTGATGTACCTTTCCTTCTTGGAAATATCTTCAATAGCTATGATAGAATATGGCCCTCCTTTTCAGACTTAAGCTATATGAGTTAAGAATGACTCATATTTGACAGCTGGAAATGTTTGTAACATGGAAAAAAACTTTGGGGAGAGAATGAAGAAAAATGGGATTATGTCCACTTAGAAGTGAGATTCAGATATGGGAAAAGCTTACTCTTGAGCTACAGTCAGCTTCTATTTACTGGAAATGCTTATTGCTGTATTGGATTCCACATTACAATCAGCAGTTGAAGCATCAAATGATGAAAGTTTGATTTCATTTTCAAACATATATATATATACACACATATATATGTGTGTATATATATGTATGCATATATGCACACACAAGATGATGTCTCATCAATGTGAAATATAAAGGCTTAACAAACTGTGTAGTTACACAGTTCCTGCATATTTACTACTACTTTTCATGCACTATTTGGACATGGCTGACCACGCTATCAACAGCTTTTCATTATTTAAATATTTACGCAGCAAATTATAATATTTCTGCATTATAGAACTATGAAATTTCATGCCCTCTTATGAAAGGTACAAATATAAAATTGACATCGCATGAGAGGGACTTTTGTTCAAGTACAATACTGGCTTTGTGGATAACAAAAACATATATAAAATGTGTTTTTCTATAGTCACTACTTATTTTTCTTATTCCCTGTATCATAGAACATGTGCTAATATTTAGGGAGGCCTGCTGGAGCTTTTACAGTTATTTTTTCCTGCCTGATATTACCAGTGCTATTTTCCTTTATACATCCTTCAGAGAAGCACTTGTCCAATAAAAACCTTTCTTCCTGAGGGAAATTCTCTTGCAGAATACTGTCAGGAAGAGCTGATACCAGGCAAACAGAAGGAAGCCCCATTAGAGTCAGCTTCCCAAACAAATCTAAACTCACCTTCATGTTCCTCTACTTGATGAGGCAACAGGTCTAAGTTCCAGCACTGGGAACAAGCAGTACAAATGTACTCACACATTTCCTGGGAGGCTTCTGGGAGACAAACAACTTTGCAGCAGCACACTATGGACTTATCAAACACATACACACTTTTGATAGTAATATTGAAGCAACTGGCTGCTTTTTTCACATCTGTGTAGCCTGTGCACAATGGGAGCTTCTTTCTGTTCAGTGTCTCTGGGCACTGGTCCTTGATCCAAGAACAGAGAAGCAATGGTCTGTCCCTCTTGGTTTCCTCCCATGAGCACTTGAGATTTACATGGTTTTGTTTGCTTCACTGAGAAATGGATAAATGACTAAAGAAAGATTAGATGGTCACAACAGCATATCTTTTTTTCTTATTCTTATGAAAGGGTAATATTTACCTATCTAAAAGCATTTTATTTATTCTTTGACCAGAGGGTAGAAAGGACTTTGGAGGTGGAACATATGAAGTTAAACCTGGTTTTGCAGAGGCAATCAAGAAGGGTTCTCAGGAGATAATTCTGAGGGATCAAAAGTCAGTTTAGCTCTTGCACACAACTTGGGTGTTCTTACTGACAAAGATTGTCACCTAATTCCTGTGAAGATTTCATCTGTGTATCAAAGGACAGCAATAATCCCACTTAAAATGTTTTCTGTAAACTTCTTTCACCAAGGAGTTGATGCCCTAGGAAAGCCTTATTCCTCTAACTAGCACCAAAAATCCAACCTCATGCTCATCTCTGATATGTTTATATAAAATATGTGTATGAAACATGCATGCACATATTAATTGTAGCTGTCCATGTCTGCCAATCCAAGATCCATTTTTGTTTCTATAGGACCACACAGGAAATCAAAGAAAAATCTAGGTCATACAACCATTATTGGGCAGTCTTTGGATCCTGCCTAGAGTGTAATATAAGCTTCAACACTTAAACATGAGTATGTTTAATGAACAAATTTCTTATGAGAGCAAAACGTGGAGAAGATTCTTTACTAAACATCATCCATTTCTTGAGAGTTCATGACACATTTTAACAGTACCTCACCAGGCCCTAATAAATATTTCATTCAGCTATCTCTGCTTTGAAGCTCTAAGCAGTAAAAATAGTTTTCTTAAATGACAGATGAAGAACCTGTTTTGGTCAGAGCATGATACTGAGCCAGTCTGGCAAAATAGAAAGAGCATCAGCTATCACTGTGCACTGAAGTGCCCAAAAAGTTACAACTGATTTACAAGGTGAGTTAAAAGTTTGGGATGTGTTCCATATAGAAATGGAATGGCGAGTCTCCAGGTGAGAATTTGTTGGGAGCTTCATTTTTTCTTGACCACATCAATCACTAGTTATTTGATTATTAATATTCAGTGACTCAATCACTCGGAAATACAAAACAAAAATAGCAGTTTTTTTGACACTTTAGGAACAAGTACATGAATCTTGAAGTTCAGAGATGGACTAGCTATGCCAGGTAAGAAATCACTTGCCAGCAATTATTTCTATCCCTTCATCAACCCTAAGATGGATATATGAGGTTAGAATAACAAAAGTAACTATTCATCAAGCACTGGAGATGAAAAGACTTTCACCTGCACCTTTTCCTCCTCCTCTGCCCCACACATGCAGTAGGCTAGGGAAAAAAGCAAATGACAACCAATCCTCCTGGCAAACAACCTCAGCTTTCCAGACTGCTGTAGGCTAGAAAAATAATCCTGTATCAAGTAAGCAGACAGACCTCCTTGAGGAATCATTCTGGACTGGGAAAGAGACCATACCTTGTACCATAAAGCTATCTCTTAAATAGCTGGTAAAAGAACCATCTGTGTATCAGCTGGCCTGGAGGCAAACTGGGGAATATGAACAGGAAGTCTGAAAAAAAGAAAACTATTCTTGGACTGTCATTGCCTTTTAATTCACCAAGTTAAAAACCATTAGGACTTCCATGTTAACCCTGGTGTAGGGACACTGTGTGGAATGCCAGAAAGGTGAAGTGCCTCCTTCTGAGCAAAGTAAGCTTCCCTTTCAAAGCAGTGGTTTGAGGTTCGCCCACGCAGGAGTGAAATCATCAAACCAAGGTCAGTGATGTCATTCAGGACATTCCCAGACCACAAAGCACAAGTGTGACTCACTTCTCAAAGTCTAGGAGTGTCTGGAAGTGCCTAAGGTGCTGTTTGAACTTTCTTCTAGAGGTGAATTTCAACCACAGATGTGAAAATGATTGAGGGTCAAATATATAGTGAAATGGATATTCTCTAAAGGGAAGGGAAGAGGGAGGAAAAGAAAAAAAGTAATGCTGGCACACTGGAGAGCAGGGCACCAAAGGAAGCACACAAGATAGGGCAGAGAGCCTCCATGACTGAGCTTGAAGCTGAGTATCCCAGGAAGGTCTGGCTCTCTTGCCTGTGTCTGGTAATCTAAAGTAAAATCTTTAGCAACAGAAATAAAATGGAAACACAAACTCTTCTCAGCTATACTTTCCCAAAGTTTGGCTCAGGATATCTAAAGGGGCAGGAGCCAAACTTTTATGGTTTTAGGCTTTTTAATCTGCGGCATACAAGCTGGCCAATGCTCTTGGTGATTGTACAACAGATTGCACCACCCCACGTGCCACAAAATCATCTGGTGAGCTGCAGTGCAGTTTGCAGTATCTATCCTGCAGACATCCAAGATGATAACAACAGAGGCTTCTAACTGTGGCCATAGGTGTCTTAGGAATAGCAAAGGAGGTGTAGGTACCATCTGCCTCTCTTTGTGTTATGTTCAACCCAGTTACTATCAGTTCATCCAGATTGAAAAACTTTATTTCACCCAACAACAAAACCAAGGAATTAAAAAATAAAGAAAAACAACGAGAGCAAATATTCTCTCATGTTCAGTCACTGAAGGTGGAACAAGAATAACCCTGGTACAAATATTTCAGTCAAATAAACAGAGGAATTCAGTAGATGCCAGGAAATCTATAGCAGAATCTCATTTAGGAAACTGTAACAGCCTGCACAGTAGGCTTCAGCATAATGTTTTCATATGACATCCTAACAACCAAAAGCTGATGAAATTTCATATTGTTCACAGTGAAAAGAAAACACTGCTTCTTTTTCCACTGTCTTTGCATTGGTTTAATCTTGCCCCCGTGTATTTTAACCTAAGCCAATTTGGGATGTTAACAGCATACAAATATGCTTTTCCTGTGAGCTGCTGGGAAGGTTTTTTTGAGCTGAAATTGTGTTAAGCTGATTACTTCTTTTAATTTCTCCTTAATAATTGAGCATTTTTAATTGTTTGAATCTTAACAGCTGATATAGCTGTTTAGAGAGTCAGGGGATGCAAATGAAGACTGAGAAATTATTTCAATATAAATGTATGATCTCTATGCCATGGCAACAGCAATTTTTCATTAAATTATAGATTCCTCAGGGTTTCTTTTTCCATATTGACAAGATCATTTCATAGGGAGAGGAGGTAAGGGAAAAGAGAGATCTTACTGAAGAAACAGAATTGTTATGACGAGCAATTAACAACATATATCTCAGCATGTCACAGTGGGTCTTCTCCTTTCATTTCACGGAATAGACTGATTATAAAAATGCTTCCCATTTGAGTGCCACAACCCTAATGCAGTTTGCATCAGGCTGCATTTTCCCTCAGGCTGAAAAATACTGACATTGACAGGAACACTGGATGTGTTGAACCTGCCATCACCAGCCTGAAAAACCTCTGTCCTCACTACTGCTCACACCTCCTAGTGAACAACCTGCTTGTGCAGATGGGGCTATTTCAGTTCCAGTAAAGAGTCTGCTGTCACATGGATTCATACTTTTCCATTGCCCCCAAATATATATATATATATATATATATATACCATCCAAACCAATCCAAACCCCAAAACCATTACACCAAAGCAAGCCCAGAAGCCTGCATAACATGCACTCCACAGGCATTTTAGGTGAATGATCCACAAGGAGTGGAAATAATGTAAAGGTATATTTACACAACTTCATTACCTGCATTTGCAGATCACAATACCTATGATGGTATTGACAGAGCTGTGAAAAAATGTGTCTTGGTACATGCTAAGGTTTTGTTGTGGGTTTTTTTTGTATTTTCATTGCTTATATGAACTGCAGTGTCTTCTCATCACATGCACATGGACTCTCTCCTCTCATAATACTTGTGAGGAGTTTGTTTGGTGCCTGTTGTTATTTTTGGTTTGGTTTGGGTTTCTTTACTTGCTTGTTTGCTTTTAAAGACTCCCATCAACCTGACTTATTCAGAAATCAGGTAAAAATGGCAGAAAATGCTTGCAGAGTGATCTTGCCCCCACATTTGTTAGCTTCATGATACATGTAATTCTCTGTTAGGAGCACCTAGGAGATGACTGCCTCCTGCTGCTAGCCAGCCCTGCACCAGCCATGGCAGAGCATTAGAGAAAATTACAGAATCACAGCTGGCTGCTGGTTAGCAAACCCCAATCTTCTGCTCTAATTTTGAAGAGAAGGGAGGCAGGACAATATGCTGCAAATTTTTTTTCTATAAATTACTTCAAATTATACGTAGAAAGGAAAATAACATAAACACTTACAACAGGTTTCTCTCTTCCCTGTGCATTCCAAATTTAGTTTGTTCACATTTTCTAACCAATCATTCCACTAAAGCCAGTTTATTAGTGGTGGAAGGTTTACTGATATGTTTGGAAAGTTGTCACAGAACAAATCCCCTCTGTGTTTTACATACAGTGGATCAATTATTTCATTTGGAGGATTGAATGACATTAGGCAGAAGTGTACAAAGGCACAACTTCAGATGCAGTAGTGGCCTTGCCTCATTTTATAGGTCAATCATATAGTACTTCAGCCTAACATTTGTCCAAAATGATCCATCTCACTTCTGCTTCAAGGTTGTATTTGCTTTGTTATTTCGGCAAAGTGACCTACAAAGTTTCTGGAAACACCAAGTTTGGTAGTTGTCTAGTCTAACAGTCTCCAGGTATGTAAATGAGCTGTTTAGTACATAAACTGTTCTCAGGAAGGTTCATTGTCTAGAGTTGTAAAAGAAGAGCAATAAAAATTATCTTCTGTTATTTAGACAATAAAAATGGCAGATCTTTACTAAAGGATCACTTCTAAAACCTGTTTTTCTAAGCATCCTACTCACTCAGAATACAGGGCTGCCTGTTGGCACTGAAGGTTGCATTAAATGGTTCAGAAAAGCAAGGAAAGGAAAAGCACAAGCCTGTTATCCTCTATAGATTTATTCATCATGGAGAGAAGCCACTGAAAATGGGGTGTGTTTTTCCCAGACTATTTTACATTCAAAACAACAGCCCTGTCTGCACTGGAAAATTCCACAGTATGTGGAGACCTACAGAGGGACTGAATGAAGAGACTTGGAGAAAAAGGTACATGTCTGGACTAGATTGAATAAGGGTAACTATGCCCAGAATAAATCTCACTTAGACTGCCTGAAGTTCCTTCAGGAAGGTAAGAAAAAAAAATAAAAGAAACACCAGGTCATAATTTGCCTGATAATTCTAAAATTAATAGTATTTCTGACAACTGAAAATCCCTCCCATTCTTCCCCACCTGACACCTCCTTTCAGATGTTGCTATATAAGAAAATCAAGAGGAGAGTTGGAGAAGTTGCATGGTCTTAAACAATTTTTATGGTGGTCAGTGATATCACTGACAGCTGATTGTGCTCAGCTCCCTCCACTAAACTGTGGCTGTGCTGAACAAAATGTGTACACACATGCATGCACCCCCACTTTGACACAGATACAGCATTTTCTTTGCCCTGTTCATCAGGTGTTCATAAACTCTTCAGTGCTAGCTCAAGCTGTATTGCTGTGAAATCATAAGCAACCTGAGAAAGGCTTTTATATGAAGAGTGTGGGCATTCAGAACTCTGATGCTCTCTGTAAGGCACATTTAGCCCAACACATGCACATAACACCTTCACATAAACACCATCTGTCCATGAGAGAAACATGTTCACTATGGCTACTCAGAAAACTCATTAAAAACTGCAAGGTGTGTTCAACTGGATCTAAATATTTGTTCCTATCATTCAGGTGCTAGTAGAGCTGGGAAAGTACCCTGAGAGCTGTGAGAGCATTCAGGGAGCTAGACTGAAAGTTAACAGAGCTTCCACTTTTCTTCTAGAATAACCATGTTATAAAAATTTTACTCTAAGAGCCTTTCCAGATGTAGCTAGATAATACTGAACTCTGTTTCCACTAAGAGAT